AAAATTCGCACTCTGTTTCATTTACACTTATTTGCACTCTTTACTACAATTCTCTGAGAACCGTATCATCTTGCTTCCTACTTCACTCCAAATAAATAACCTTCTTCCTACCTCTATTCCCTTGCATATAAGATAGAACCGCGACATTTTCTTTCTTATTATACTTTTCACAAAACAAACAAACAAGACAGGATTAAATATAAAAGAAAACCAAATCAGGATTCACACCCAAACTATTTGTACTCCAATGCATTTACATCAGTACAAATTTCATTTACATTGCAGCCAAAGGCAGCCTTTAACGTCAAATAATTGGGCTCGTTGCCTGGTTTTGAGGACTAAAAGACAAGTCATTGATTGGGCTCATGTAATGCAAGGGTTTGAATGTATGTTCACTACAAATTTTGGATGCCGCAGTGGTTTGCTTGTGTAGCCCAATGTTTATGTGGGAAAAATCAAACTCTCGCTGATTTGAAGATTAGTATAAGCAAAGAAAGACAGAGACACCTTGATTTGGCCTTTGTTGGATAAGTTGGATTAGGCAGAGAGAAGTGTAGAACACTACAGAGCCGTTTGCAAGTTGGAAGAAAATAAACCTTGGTTTTGACAAAACTACAAGCTCTCTTCCAATGCTTATCTGGTTTCATCTCGTTTGACATTCTATTTATGGTTTCAGCTCACTTGTGCTTCCTTAGTCCGAAGTTGCAGATACGAACCAAAACCACCCTGAGCTCTCTAATAAGTACGTAGTCTGGTGGCGTTTATTGAAGAAACAGGGATGTGTTGGACAAAGAGAACTTGGATTGTGGCTACAACCATCGGAGCTACTGAAGTGTTGAAAGATCATGGCTTGTGCAGATGGAATTACAGTCTTCACCTCTTACACCAACGCACCAAGGACAAATTAATATCCTTTTCCTCATTCGGGAAACTGGCTAATTCTTCCTCCCCTTCCCATATTAACTCTTCGAGGACAGTAGGAAAGAGGAGAGCTAGAGGTAAGAAATTGAAGCAATCAGCTGAAGAGTCTGTCAGGAAAATCATGTACTTGAGCTCTTGGGGACCCTATTAAACAAGTAAATTGGAAAGTAATTTTCTTTTTCATCTGTATACATTAGATCATCAATATTAAATCCTTTCTGAGAAACCCTTTGTCCTTGTCCTTTATTTACCAAAAAAGATTGTTTATTTATTTTTTATGGTCATTAAGTTTCTGGACAGGAGAAATGTGCAAAATTAAAAGCTAATAACCATTAAGTCTGTCGTGCAAGAAATTTGGTGTAATCTATTTCTAATTTCGGGACTTGATCAATAATGGGTACCAATCCTTTATGCATAAGAGGATTGGACACAGCTATTGGTTTTCAATTTCATTGAGATAATATGCCCTCAGAGTCCTAATATGGCAAGTTGATAAGTTGGACAGTGCAGAGCTGTTTGTGTTGAATAAATCAAGCCAGTGGAAAGGAGTGAGTATTTAAGAAAAGCTACAAGCTAGACCCGGAAGTTGCTGCAGATTCAATTCACTTCGTTGTGTACGTACGCTATATTGGATCCACTCCCTCTTCCAAAAGGTCACTAGAACAAGACAAATCACTCCATGATTGCATTCCACATGGTTGTAAATGAATTTTTAGTATCTATATGCGCATGACCCCGATGCTCTGTATCCAGGAAACTTTCGCATTTCGACTGATAATGAATTTCCTAGACGTTCGACACCGAAGAAGAAGAAATCTGCATCTCAGTCGACTGATAATGAATTTCCTAGACGTTCGATACCGAAGAAGAAATCTGCATCTCAGAGAATATATTAATATTGATGGAAATTAATTAATTGGAGAAAAATTGTTATGTTTGTGCTTTGAATTCTATGTGGCGATTTGCTTTCTGAATCTTCAAAGATAAATTTTCATAGTAGTTTGTGGTGGATGCATAGGGCTTGGACCACTAACCACTACAGTGGTATGAACCTGTTTCCTGTTTCATATTCATCTTATAGGTCCGAATTAAATACGAAGAATTATGTATTTTTGGGAGTTTTCTTGTCTTAGTCTTGTGAGAGACGTATGAAACATTGGATGTATTTGGGGCTTAGGGTTTTTGTGAGGGTATAACTCTGAATTTTTTTTTCCATTACCAACTTCAAAGTGGATTGAAGGTGAACCACGTAAATCTGTGTATTCTGTATGCTTATTTCTCTTTATCGCTACTTTTATTTTTCTGGGTGCTATTGAAATCTATTTTTTGGATTTTTCTCAACTAAAATAAATATAATTTGTAAACGGAATTTATTAATATTTACAAAAGGAATGTTATAACTACAAAATGGGATAGGTCCATTATCACGTAATATGTTGTTGATTTCAGTTGGGACCCCAACAACTCAAATACATGACCTTTCTCAAGGATTCTTCAGATTGTTTCCTTAGGCGGTACTCGTCTCTGTCTCTCGCCTTCACCTTGGAAGAAAAGGTGGTTGCAGTTGCAGATAGCATCTTAGCCTGAGAAAAGGAAACAAGGTTGTTTTTGGCTTGTTATTGGTGGAGCGATCTGATCTAAGAGTAATTCCATAATCTGCAAAACCCCTGATCTCTCAAAGCCTCTACGGCTCCCATGCTCGCAGTCGCCGCCATCGCTGCCACAATCCACGTTCTCCTGGCCTCACTCATTTTCTTTACTATTTTTCAGCTGTATCTGTATGTGCTTCTCCTCCTGCTAGTGTTGCTTCTTCTCCCTTAGAGTTGTTATTATATAGTGATATTGAGTGGAATAGGGAAATGATGTAATGTAATCCGGCTGTTTCCCGTAGGAGATGATCTGGCTACCTGCAACGGCGGAAACTGAGGAACCTGCAAGAATTGAATCAGAGAACCCGGGGTTGTTTACCCGACGGGGTCGCTCCGGTGCTTAAGTTAGCACTTAGTTGTGAGCTGAAAATGATATTGGATTGTGAGAGAACTAGAGAGCAGAGATTACACATACCCCTTTTCTTCTCCTCTTTCACCCCTGGGGGTGAACCCTTTATATACTGGAGTCTTCACGGGTTTACTGGAGTAGTTTCTGGATCCCCGTTGCGATGGGATCTGTTTCCGTGTTAGGTGGAGATAATGCCACCAACCGGTAAGGTTGCCCATTTCCTCCTGAATCGGGGAGTGGGTGAGTTAATATAGTTGTTACAAGGTACGATCCCGTAAGACGCGGGATACGATGGTGAGATCCTTGGAATTACCACGCGGCGGTTGGTCTGACTGGGAAGCGAGCTGCCTGTAAGGTGTCAGGCTGCATGGTGGCGAATTGCCTGTAAAGTGCCGAGCTGCTTGGTGGCGAACTGCCTATAAAGTGTCGGGCTGCTTGGTGGCGAGCTGCTTGTGAAGTGACGGTTTGCTTAGTGGCGAGCTGCCTGTGAAGTGATGCGCTGCTTGGTGGCGAGCTGTCTAATGGTAAGCTGCCTGTAAAGTGCCAAACTGCTTGGTGGCGAACTTCCTACTTGTCATGGGGTGTCATATGTCATAATGTCATTGGTGGGCCAAATCCACCCTCATCAAAAAACAAGATGAACGATTAGATGAAAGAAAATGCTATGAGCTTTACGCAAAAACCAAAGGCGCCTTTTTTTTACTTACCAATGATTTCTAAAATCCAATTACCAAAAGGAATGAAGGGAACCAAACCAGTCCCCACAGCCACCATACATTAGAATAGTTACAAATTTACAACAAACGAGGTTGTAAATGTATAAACTATTAAGGCTTCCGTTCCGTATGTTGAAGACTTGAAGTAGAGAAAGGAGATCGACGGAATCTGTATTTTAATTCCAAGAAAATGGTGATTGGCGTTTGCCTAGAGTGTGGGAGCCGACTCACCCTCAAAAGCCGAGCCAGTGAATTGCATTCCCCATCCCACGTGTGGAGTAGGAACAGCCCATCTATAATTAAGTTGATATGGCATGAGAAATAGTTGAAATTGATCGACGTAAAATCAGATATATTTATACTACAATCCATGGTGAACTGAGAGAGTGAGTGGTGAGTGGAGAATGTTTGGGGCTTCTTCATATAAAACTATCCGCACCATTCCAAATTTCAATAATGTCCGTCTATGAGTTGGCCAGCATATCTAACTAGTAAGTAGGTCCTCCCAGGTACGAGTAGAGGTAACTATTTGAGATTGATGGCTAATATTACATTTGCTTTGCCTAATAGCCATCCACTTGTGTAAGGAATAGATAAAAATGTAGAAGAGAGAAAATTAAAAATAAAAGATTTGTTGTATTGTTTGACCTATGGTACAGTATATATACACAAAAGATTAATAAGAGAAACTAAGAATAGAATAGGCAGTTGACTATATACAAAGGTTACTAATTTAGTGGTTGCCAAATCTGTGTAACAGCCTTTATTAGTAACTGTTATTCTTGGAGTAGATTTATCATTGGCAGCTGCTAAAGATTCCTTATTAGCAGTTACTATTTTGGACTAAGAGTCTCTATTGATAACTTTCAGACTTGTGGAATTACCTTCTGGAGAGCTTTCCTTAATACACCCCCTCAAGCGAAACTGGGCTGGAAGCACATGAAGCTTGGACCGAAGAAAGTCAAACCGAACTGGAGCAAGAAGTTTGGTAAAGATATCAGCCAGCTGATCATTAGTAGAAATATATCAGACATCTAGATTTTTACGGAGAATATGATCACACAAAAAGTGAAAGTCCACTTTGATGTGTTGGGTACGAGCGTGAAACACTGGATGCGTTGCCAGGTACATAGCACCAATATTATCACAATAAAGAATAAGCGGAACAGGTTGACGAATGACCAAATCCCGTAATAGAGACTAAAGCCATTGTAATTCTGTTGTGGAGTTAGCTAATGAGTGAAATTCGGCTTCAGTGCTAAAACAGGCAATGGTTGGTTGTTTCTTCGCACTCTAGGAGATTAAATGAGACCCACGAAAAATACCATAGACGCCAGTAGACCGGCTGTCATCAGGGCAACCAGCTCAATCAACATTTGAAAAAGCAACTAAATACCTAGGAGAATTAAATGCAAAAAATAGCCCATGCTCAATTGTAACTTTGAGATAACGCAGAATGCGTTTCACTATTGTCCAATGACCATTGGTCGGGTTCTGAAGGAATTGACAAGCTTTGTTCACCGCAAATGCCACATCTGGACGTGTAAGTGTAGCATACTGCATGGCCCCAACAATGTTGCGATACTGAGTAGGATTAAGAAGCGGGTCCCCTTGAAATTTAGACAATCTAGACGTGGGAGCCATAAGCATGGTCAAGGGTTTAGAGGCTGCCAAATTAGTTTTTTGTAGGAGATCCAGAATGTAACGCCGTTGAGAAAGAAACTGTCTAGTCTTGTCTCGTTGAGCTTCTACTCCAAGAAAATAGTGTAGAGATCCGAGATCCTTAAGAGAGAAACTCTGAGACAAATCCAAAATGAGTAAAGAAACATGAGCAACAAAAGAACCAGTAACAATAATATCATCAACATAAACCAAAATATATAGAGAAATATTATTTTTGGTGTAGATGAAGAGAGAGGGATCACACTGAGAGCTTCTGAAGACAAAATCATGAAGTCTACTACTGAGTCGAGAGAACCAAGCCCGAGGGGGTTGACAAAGACCATAAAGAGCTTTTTTAAGCTTGTAGACATAATCTGGACGTGTTTGATCCTTAAAACCCTAGGGCTGTTTCATATAAATATTTTCTTGAATAAATCCATTCAAGAAGGCATTCTGAACATCTAGTTGCTTAATGTTCCATCCCTGTGAGGTAGCGAAAGACAGAACCGTACGGACAATGGCTAGCTTAACAACTAGGCTGGAAGTATCAGTGAAGTAGACATAAGGAACTTGAGAGAAACCCTGAGCTACTAGTCTGGATTTGTATCGTTCCATAGAACCATCAAGTTTTCTCTTAATTTTGTAAACCCACTTAGAGCCAACAACATTCATAGAAGAATCATAAGGAACAAGCTTCCACGCACCATTTTGTATGAGAGCATGAAATTCAGATGCCATAGTAGTGTGCCAATGAGCAGACTTGGACGCCTGAGAGTAGGAAGTTGGTTCTACATCATTCAGACTACCAGCTACAAGTAGTCATTTAGGTAAGGGATACCTTGTGGCAGTTTGCGCATGGTGGGAACTCATGGAATGAGTAATCATAGAATGTGTCCATACATTTGGAGCAGGAACAACAGGTGTGGTGTCGAGAATATCTTGAATCAGCCGTGTTTTCTGTCGTGGCTAAGCTATTTGATTATCATAATGAGATAAAGATTCATTAGTATCAATGGAAGATGAACTTGCAGTTATACCTTGTTCAAGAGACGGAGAGTCATGAGAGGAGATATCATTCTCCTGCGCATCAGTGACTGAAGGAATAGGTAGAAGGGTGATTGGTGTTGAATTCAGAGGTTCACAAGAATTCCTCTCTTGAGAGAGTTTCAAAAACTGTTTCTCATCAAAAACCACATGCCCTGCAATAATTTCTTGTAAAGTGACTAGATTATAGCACTTGTACCCTTTTATGAGAGGAACTATATCCAATAAAAATGCATCTAACAGATCTATAGTCCATCCTGTGCTTGTTATATGGCTGAATAAAAGGATAGTAAACACAACCAAAACTTCGTAATATAGAATAATCAAGTTTTCGACCAAAAAACTTTTCATAAGGAGAGAGATTACTAAGCGTTGGAGTAGGCAACCGGTTAATGAGAAACACTACAGTTTCTGTTGCTTCGACCTAGAAGGATTTGGGGAGAGAGGAGGATGCCAGTAGAGAGAGAGTGGACTCAATAATATGCTAGTGTTTCTGTTATGCATTTCCATTCTGCTCATGAGCACGAGGACAACTCACCCTGTGTGAAATTCCTTCACTATCCAAGAAGGGGGATAATTTTCGAAACTCTCCTCCCCAATCACTTTGAAACATCTTAATTTTAGTGGAGTGTAGATTTTCAACATGTTTCTTAAATTTAACAAAAGCATCAAAAACATCTGATTTCCTTTCAAGAGGATAAATCCAAGAAAACTTTGAATATGCATCCATAAACAAAACATAATATTTATAGCCTTTTGTAGACAAAACTGGGGCGGGTCCCCACACGTCTAAATAAATTAATTGTAGAGGTTAAGGGACATTACTAGAAGAAATTGGCAAATTTAAACGATGTGCTTTGCCTAATTGGTAAGCCTCACAAATAAAATTATCATTCACATGTCCTGAATAAGGTAAACCAAATTTATAAATTACTAATTTAACTATTTTCAACGATGCATGTCCTAAGCGATGATGCCAATCCTGGAAAGCGGTTCTTTCTCCAACAAGTGCTTCGGCTGATTTTTCTCTGTCATCATTGGCTCCCGGGAACTGATAAAGTCAATCTCTACTGGGTCCTCTAAGTAAAATTATCCCCATACGATCCTTCAATAAAAAGAAATCTGGGTGAAATTCAAAAACTAATTATTATCTCTTGTAAATTTGCCAACAGAGATCAAATTCTTTGTCGGGCAGGAAGATGATAAATATTTTTCAGATTAAACTGATAATGATCATAATTCAAATTCTTTGTCGGACCAACTTTCACTTGGTCCATACCCAAAGATTTAGACTTGTTCTATAAGTTATCAGCATCTGGAGTCATGTGATGAGTTGCTCAACTATTAGGGTACCAAGCAGGGTCGAAATTAGCTGTTGAGCCATTGTAGGAAGACATACCACTATGAAATGCAGCCGCAGGATCTGGAGAAGTATTGTTATGCTCAACTTGATGCGGGAGGTCGTACCATTTGTAGCACTTGAGTGCACCGTGACCAGGTTTGTTAAATACTTGGTAGATAATTGTATTACCTCTACCTCGACCTTGTCCTCATCCGGACTAATTACCACGCCCCTACCTCTGCCACGGCCATAGTTCCCTTTGTTATTTTGAAACTGAGAATTATTATTGTTATTTGCTGCTATATTGGCATTGGGAGCTTCACTGGAAACATTATATTGGACAAGCCAAGATTCATGACTAAGCAATAAACCCAGAACATCATTGATGCTTAACTGATCAACATCAGTTCTATTAGTAATAGTAGTGATAAGAGATTCATATTCGCTTCCTAGTCCACATAAAACGTAAAGAACAAGGTCTTTCTTAGCTACCGGTTCAAAAATAGCAGACAGATTATCTACAATAGTTTTTGCTTTTTGAACATACTAATGGACAGATTGCCTTTCTTAAGATTCTGTAGTTGTCGCCTTAGTTGTAGAACCCTAGATTGTGAGTGAGAAGAAAATGATCTCTCTAGGGCACTCCAGACTCTGGCTGCAGTAGATAGTCCAACAACTTGGGCTAATACGCCCTCTATTAGAGATGCAACAAACCAACTTAAAACAAGTTGGTCCAATTGCACCCATGAAGAATAGTTTGGGTTAAGAGTTTTCTTACTACCATCATTAGGATCTAGAATTTTCTCTGGTGGTGCCTTGGCCAAACCATCAATCAAGCCCATCAGTTTGTAGGCTCTGAGAACTAGCAGAAGTTGAGCCCTCCATAGAAGAAAATTTTCTCCATTCAGCTTGATGGTGAGATATGGAGAAATGTTGGGAATGGAGTTCATGGCTATTGTAGTAGTTATGTTATGAAGATCAGAGGAGTTAGAGCTCATAGCTTCAACCGAATCTGCACTGTGAGATGCCATAGGCTCTGATACCAATATAAAAATGTAGAAGAGAGAAATAAAAAGTAAAAGAATTTAGTAACTCCTATTCTTGGAGTAGATCTATCATTGGAAACTGCTAAAGATCCTTTATTAGCAGCTGCTATTCTAGACTGAGAGGCTCCATTGGTAACTTTCAGACTTGTGGAGTTACCTTTTGGAGAGCTTTCCTTAATAGGAATAATGGAATGATGCTTCTCTCTATTAATTTTGAGTTTTGTTTTTGATGAGGGGCATTTTGGTTAACCCACTTGATGGAGGACACGTGAAGCTGTCAGCAACACAGCGTCCAACTCAGCAAGACATCTCGCCAGTTCAACACATGGCAGTTTATAATAGGTGCGTGGCCGAGCTGAAGCGAGCTCGGCCCACTGACAATGACAGCTTGCCCGAAACCGTCTCACATGCCATATCTGGTTTAGTACCGTTACCGAAACAATAGGGACAACTCGCCGAATCGCGCGCCATGAGACCTGTAAGCGACCTGTAACTGCCGCACAAATTTAGCAACTAACGGCCCAACACTCCCTCAAACTACAGAACAACTCTACAGAAAACTCAAAGACGTTGACCAATGACACCTGGACACCTAATAACTATTAAAAGAACCCAGGGACACTTCTAAGGTATGAGCACATAAGCTCTCACTCTCTCTCAATTTCTCTTGGAGAACTACTCACTAACTTAAGCATCGGAGTATCCTCCTAGGTAAAATTTACCCAGGCACTCTAACCTCTTTTTCATTTCAGCAACTCTCAGATCGCGCCTTCATCTCGGCACAACAGCTCGGACTACCCCAGATTGAACCCAGTCCGAGCCACTTCACCAAACACGGGGGAGTGAACAGATTTTATGCTTTATCTATTGGTGGGCATATTTTGTGCTTCATCAATTGGGGTCGTCTGTGGGAAATGCAGCAAAAAGCATATGTTTCCTTTCATTCATCTCTTTCTCTCTCTCATTTTCCTCAAAAAAACCTTTCAATGGCATCTTCTGGTAACCCTTCTACCAACAACATCAATGGCCAAATGCCAATGATCACGATAGGCCAAATCAACGCTCCTTTACCATCGGTCGATGCTTAGAACAATGTGAACATGCCACCCCCACCTCTAATGGCACCTCCCATAGATGTGGATGTACAACAATTTAATGATTTGGTACGATGCGTACACAACATGACAGAGAAAATGCGAATGTGGGAAAAAAGATTTGTATTCATTTCTGGGCAACAACAACAACCTCTTCAGCAGTAGCAACAACAGCACCAGCAACAACAATATCGACAACCGCATCCTGTGGTACCAAATCAACCGGTTCAGGAGGACAATCAGCAAATACCGCAAGGAAGTCAACCTCGCAACAGCCAACAACCTCCTTGTCATAACTCCGATCGTGAAAACTCACCCCCTCAGTGAGTGTGAAGCCAAATTCAGGTCCCAGATAAAGAAGAAGCGGTAGCTCGAAATGAACAAGTCCCAGTAGAGAGTCAAGCAGATGCACCAGTCGGTTCCAATGCAGCTAGCTCCACTGAATATACCAAGAAGAAAAATGGACACACCGAGCGGAAAGAAAGTACAGCCTGCCCAAGCCAAAAGTATGATACCACTTGGAGAGCGCAGCATTGCAACTGGTAAATTGGTCTCCCTCTCAGAACAACATAGCTTGACCCACGAGACTCCCCTAGCACCCGAAATCCTTAAAGCACCACAGGCCAAAAACTTCCGGGCCCCCGCCCTTGAATCCTACCAAGGAAAAACAAAACTCATAGAACATGCAAATTGTTTTCAGGCCCTTATGCTCCTCCATGGAGTGAATGACGCCAGTATGTGCATTGCGTTTCCCACCACTTTGAAGGAAGAAGCATGGCTATGGTATTCAGGGTTGGCCCTAGGGTCTATAAAGAACCAGGACCAGATCGCCAGACTCTTTATTAATTAGTTTGTCACCAACAAGTAACATCTGGAATCTGCTACATGTCTATTCAACACCATACAAAAGCCCAATGAGACACTTAGGGACTACATTTGACGATTCAACATGGAATGGCTACAGATTCTAGACCTAGATCCCTCTGTACAGCTCATTGCGGCCAAGAAAGGAGTAAAACATCGAGAGTTGAAGTGGGAAATTGAATTGCGTCTGCCGACTACCATGGAGAATTTCCTTGAAGTAGCCAATGATTTCATTAGAGCAGAAGAAGTAGTGGGCACAGAGTCTGAGACAACCAAAAGGAAGCGAACTGATGAAGAAGCAAGCACCAATAGAACCAGGTGAAGGAGCAAGTCACCTAGAAAGAGCAA